TTAGAAAAGCAAGCTTGTGACCAAAAGACCCCTGTTTCAGTCCCCAGACAGGACATATCTGCCTGAATAAATAAGAGTAAAATAAAAAAAACTAATTTCCACACACATCTTGAATATCACATATGGGCAGGTATCAGCTACAGTGTTATTAGTTGTCAAGGGGAGCATAGATGTGGGTTAGTGGGGCCCTACTCCACCTCCACGTTTGGCTCACTAGGCTATTCATAGACTGAAACTTTGTCATCATCGTTACAGAAATCAACATGGAGTGTACCCGGTTTGGCACAAAAGCTACTTGGATAGGTTTAGGGAAAGATCATGGTTTGAGTTAGAATAATACTTCCTTAAGTAACAACACTGACTACCAGTTTGCTATGGGAAACAAACAGCTGTCTCCTGTTTGAAACTCTTGCGTTTTGTCATCCTGCCCTTTTACCTTTATCTCATCTGTGCATGGATTTTGTCACTCTTTAAATGTCATTACCTTTGTCATTTGGCTTTTTCTCCTGACATAGCACCTATGGCCCCTAGAGGTTGAATAAATTTTTCAGGGAAGAACCATATCGTTGTACCTTGTACCCTACTGGTAGGTACAGCTCAGTAATTATGGGAGGCATGACAGCTGATAACAGTCATTAAATGGTGTTATAACATTTATAGCGGTGACAGCTGATATCACAAACTATACAATGCTAAAAAATAATGAGAAATGTAGCATTGTTTGAGTTTATTTTATGGCGGTGAACTTTGTTTTAAGTTGGTGAATGAGTATTTTTCAGAAAATTTCAAACTACTTCTTTAATAGAGGCAATTAAGCAGAAAGCATGTATGTTTTAAATGATACTTTCTGTACATCCATTGTCTTAATTCACACCAAGTCATAGTCCCCTCACAGCAGAAAACCTTGTCCTTCTCTAATTTACTGTTTTCTCCTCAGCATCTCTCCACCTTCATTATGGACAAGACAGAGTCCATTGTCACAGTGGATGATGCCATTAAGAAACTTGTCCTTCTGGATTCAAAGGACAAAATATGGGCACAAGAAATGCTCCTGCAGGTTACTGACAAGGCGGTCAGGCTGCTGGACTGTGACACACAGGTAACTGCGCCACACCTGTCCACACATCGGACACATCATCACATTATGTTAAGTTGCAACAAATGCCCCAGTGATGATTTGTGCCTCTGAGCTGCTGCTTGAAATATCTGTCTGCAGTCATTTTCAGACAGTACTAGTTACTAGGAGTACAACTTCAGCTTGTGAAAATGCAGTAGTTGTATAATATTTTCTGTTAGTTATGGAGGAGCAGAGTCAAATGTTGGAAAGTTACTCCACTGACATATGCCGATATCCTGATGCACTTGGCTTAGATTTTTGGCAGAAAGTCTACCGTACTTTACAAAGGGCTTTCAAATGTTAGTTACCCATTTTTATTTAAATCTTTGTACTGGAACAAGTGCATAAGTCAACACTGTAACAGAAATGCATACTTGGAAATGGCAATAAGCTCCATGCAAATTAAGCACAGTGCTTTACCACGTACTTTGGTGAAGTAATGTTTAGAAGTCCACCCATTGTGAAATGTCCTGCATCAACCTTCCTCTTTTTGTTAACGTTACTCGTTTTGCCAACCACATGGCACTTGCATCCTATTGTAGTTAGCTGCTCAAATGTCAGAGAAACATTAGACTCAAATGATGCTTTCATTTGTGCGCTGAGTATTCCTCCACTTCAAAATAAAAGTCACAGAATTAACGGGCCTGATAGAGACTTGTCAACGAGCCGCGTCTGGCTCGCGGGCCATAATATTCCCGGGTCTGATACTGTATCTTGCTCTCGCTTTTCTTCTGCAGGAAGAGTTGGAGAACTTTCCCCTCCCCACCATCCACATGTGTCAGGCATTGCTGAATCAGACAAGTTACCCCTCCGTGTTGCTGCTCGTATGTCAGGACAAAGAGCAGCACAAACCCGACATCCACTTCTTCCACTGTGATGAGGTGGAGGTGAGTCTGTCCGAATGTAACAGGCTTAGTTCAGTTTGCTTCTTTTATTGTCTGTTCATGATTAGCTGGCTTTGTGTGTTTGTCATTCATAAGTCCCTGCTGTTGTTGTTGGAGCACTGGGTTAGATTTCAGTCCTGTAAAAAAGACTGTGCTGTGTGTATCCTTTTACATTATTCGCAGCCTTGTTAAAAGATATTTGCACAAATGAAGAGCTGTCACTGAAAGGGTGCAATACTATACCTTACTGTAAAGACTCTACCTCTATTGCTAAGTTCAAAGAACGAGCTTACAAGTAAGTGTTTATTACGTTTAGAATGAGCTCATTCATGGGGGGATCTGAATTTAACAAACTTCGGATTATCGTGTGTGACTTGCCTGTGTTTTTATTGAAACAATAAAGGAACATAGAGTTTATTTCCCATTAAAGTTGTGATGCACATGTCATTTGATGTGAAGGAAAAATAAAAAAGATTTTTGAAGAAATGCTAAAAAGATTTTTCTGATGTATTTGATTTGACCATTTATTTGTTTCTGCTGTTTCTAAAATATACTGTTAATCTGTAAAGTCAAGCAAGATAAAAAAAAAAAAACATATAATTGACTCGAATGCCTTTGGTTGCAGACTTGTAATCAAAACCAGCCATTGTCATCATCAAAACTGGAATTCAGTTAAATTACCATAATTCAGTTAATTTAAAACATCGTCACACCTATCTTCTACATCTGGATTTGAACTGTGTGAGTCCAAGTTGGGCACAAAAAGAACCTGTAGGTGTCAATAGAACAGGGTTAACAAGTATTACAATGAGATATTTAACTGCAAACTTTCAATACTGAGTTTGAATTTCCCTTGGATCAATAAAGTATCAATCAGTCAATCATCAGAGATGACAAAATTGCAACTGGGTGCTGGGAAACACCAACTAACTTTGGCATGACCAGTAGTGAAACTCTATACAGATGTCACCTGTAAAAGCTGCAGTATGTTAAGTAAAACCCCCTTCCTCTCTCTCTCACTCTGTCCAGGCGGAGATGGTTCATGCAGATATAGATAGTGCCATTGGAGACAGCAAGCATGGAAAGAAGATGAGGCTTCAGACTCTGAAGTAAGAACAATGTAGCTGCAGAAAAACACACACACAGCCTTTTAGCCATGCACATTTCGAGAGGTGTCACTAACCTAAATACTGGTTAGTTAACCTGATGTCAGGGTGCTGAAGGTCTCGCCGCCTCCTCCTCCCCCAGGGTGAACCAGGAGAAAATGAAACATCATAGAGAATCCATTCTCCCCCCCTCACCCCCTAAGGGCCCCTCACGTGCTCCAAAGGGACGAGTGGCTGCCACGAACACACAGGGTGCGGACACTTCTGCTGTACATGCACTCAGAAGAATAAACTTTATACATGCACAACTTACATGTTATGCAAAATTGTATTTTTTCTTTTGTTTATCTTTAATCATGTGCATTTTTTTGTGTTAATATGAACTTGTACTTGAATATGATGCAGAGTCACATGAAAAGCTGGCCCAGCGCATTGAGAAGGATGTGGTGAGCGTTTCATATCCACAGTCATTGCATTACACAGATCCTTTCATCATCTCATAATATGCTTCATGCTAAACCTCAGGACTTGTCTCCCTCAGCAAATCCTCAACTGTGCCCTGGATGACATAGAGATCTTTGTTGCACGGTTACAAAAGGCAGCAGAGGCCTTTTCCCAGCTCAACCAGCGCAACAAGAGTAAGAAGAATAAGAAGAAAGGACCAGCAGGTCTGTCTCCCTTTCTTCTGATGTGGTGGCACGAATGCAGTGACAATATGTTCATATTGCTCACGTCGCCATTTTTGTCTTTTTGTGTCCTGTGGTAGAGGCCAGTCTGGGGTTCTGTGAAGTAATACAATACTCTTTACACAATTACTTATCACTACTGATGTAATATTAATACTCCTTACTTACTTACTTCCTAAAGTAAGTAAGCGTATTAGTGTAAGGTGTATTATTCTTCTGTTGCACCCACACATTTGGTTACTTTAATTTATTAATATCAGTGTGTTTCTGTGTGTCTGAAATTAAATGTTGTTGTGTTTTTGCCTGACAAAGCCAAAATATTGGCATTGCTAAAAAAAAAAAGAGGTAAACTTCAGTTTAATTTTGCATGAGATGCAGATGAGATGAGTCAAAACAATTTTAATCTTACACCAACAGTGTCATCTTGTTTATGGACTAAAAGCTGTGTCCTGTAATGATGTTACTGTTCATAAGTAATGTTTTACCATCCAACCCTGGCACTGGTGTGATGCTGTGTTCTCACTGTAACACAGCTGGTTCCCTGTCCAGTAAGATACGCATGGTCAGGGTAAAACACACATGTAGAAAGTGTAATTCTTCCAAAGTACTATAGCAGAAATGTGTGTTGTCCTTGATTACACCGATAGATGTGCTCAAAACAACGTGTTCTCTATCTAGAGAATCAGTTTCTCAACCTTGAGGTCAGAGTCCCATGTGCAGATGCTTGTTTATAGATAAGATGGTTGATTGATAGTTCTTTTTAAGTTTAAATCAATAGGTTTGAGCTTTGTTATAGTCTGTTTGAAGTTTATTCCTTATTCCTGAAAATCCAGTTTGAGGGAATATCATACTCAAATGTTCACCACATAGGTGTCTGATTTTTGGATTCACGGAGATTTGGGGACATTCTGGTTCACAGGTTGAGAAACCCTGATGTAGCACATTGTTCTTGGGCTTTTACTTTTTGGCCAGGGTGAACATTTCATCTGTGAAGCAGTTTATTACCTTAACATTATTGTATGTCCAACCTATTTTTCAGCTGTAAGGTGTAAGCCCTTGTAGAGATAGAAAAGATTAAACCTTGGCCAGAAAGTGAAGCCTGTGTCTTGCCTGTAATGTTTCTGTATGGCAGGCTGGTAACTGTGCAGTGTCTGTGTGGTCATTGTTGCTCTGGCTGTTTACAGAGGGCATGCTGACCTTGCGAGCCAAGCCCCCCTCCGAAGCGGAGTTCATTGATAGCCTGCAGAAACTGAAGCTGTCCTTAAACCTCTTGGTAAGATATCACAGCTCCTAACTGCCCTCATTCACAGTGTTCATCACATTCTCACTGTATGTCTCTCACTGCGTCCCCTGCAGGCCAAACTGAAGAAACACATACAGAATCCAAGTGCATCTGAGCTGGTTCATTTACTCTTTGGCCCTCTGGAGCTGGTAAGACTTAAAAATCTGTTCAGTGTCATACAGAAGATGGCAAGCATGTATGACCAGGAAAACACCAAACTGCTATGTTGCCATGAGACATTCCTCTTATTGTTTAAATTTTTTTTCTGGGACCACACCCACTGCCGCTTTTTTAAACCCTTGGCAGACTGGAGCAACGTGGCTTTCAACTCTGACACAGCCACACGTACATAATGTTGTTTTACCAGAACACACCTTCGATACTGGTGGATAGAAAGCCAGTGCTGCGATTAGCTCTTCACCTGATATGGTACATTGACTTCTGCAGATGTTAGCTTTACTTGATAAGGTTTGAGATAAAAGCAAAGCAAAGTGTGGCCTCATGGCTGCTAGCTGTCCTTATCAGTCTGCCTCGACATGCAGCTCCAGATACATCTGTAGTCTGTTTCTAGTTGTATAACAGTGTAAACAACATACCCATATTTTAGTTTATTTAAAATTGATTTGTGATGCTGTTGTGCCAATATTTTATCAGTATTTCAATATTTAATGTGTGTAATTATTTGTTTGCTGGCTCTTGTTTATTGCTGTTTTCTAATCACCTTCTATAAAGTATCTAGCTTGAATGACAGATATATACAGTTCACTTTAATTTCATCACTCAAAACGAGGATGGTATTTGACCTTATCTGTTTGAGTATGAAATGTGTCTCTCATCGGCAAAAACTGTCAAGTACTGAAGTTTGTAGCAGATCTTTACTCAAATTCCTATTCGTGTTTACTTTTACTTAATTTTTGATCAGTTGTCTCCTGATCTGATTTAGGAAAACATGACATGCTAATTTTAAACCAAATTATATAAGGTCAAAGTTTGTGTGCTGCTATTTGTGTTTAAATATTATAGACTGATCCATTGAAAAGTTTACCATATTTTGTTAATGAAAAAGAATTATCTTTTAGTATTCCTCAAAATTAGGGGAAAAAGTACCAGTACTAAAACTAACGTATTGAAATTTTTCAAACAGCTGTAGGAAACACAATAAAAGAACACACTGTATGTTTCTATATGGGGAAAGCCCCTCTTTTGTGTTTTCACATCAGTGAACTTGCGACTGTGTCCACAGGTGCTGCAGAGCTGCGGGAGTCCTGAACTGGCCCGTTCAGTCTTCTCTCCTCACCTTTCCAAAGATGCTGTCGATTTCCTGCGGGGACACCTCACCCCCAAAGAGATGACCATCTTTGAGCTGCTGGGGGACAAATGGACCAAACCAAGGTACATGGCATCACTGCTGGATCTGTCTGTATAAACGTGCAGCTTAAAGGTTGCCTTTGACCATGCTGTTACTCTTCCTCCTGCAGAGCAGAGTGGCCCAGGGATCAGTGCGCTCCTCCTTATTACCCAAAGTTTCGTAACGGCTGGGAGCCACCAGCGGAGCTCTTTAGGACGGCCCCGTGGGAAACAGAGGGACCTACAGGGCCACTGGGGTCCCCCACCAGCCCCGATTACAGGAAATCCTTATCAGACGATGTAAGGATTGTGTTTACTGGCCGCAGTCTGTAAAGGCACTGTACATTACAGATCCCTTACAGAACCCTTAAAAATGTAACAGTCTCTCTGTTTTTCCAGTTTTATGGAACTCAGCCCCCAGTCTCACCAAATGGGTAAGTTATGAAGACTTTCACATACTTTGCTGTGTCTTTCATGCTGCAGAAACATGTCCAACTGATAAAATGTATCTTAACAGTTCTTACAATGGGGCGCCACAGACTCGCAAATATGCCAAAATTCGCTACCACTTTGTTGCACGGAATGCCAATGAGCTGTCAGTACTGCAGGATGAAATCCTCGAGGTAAAAAACTGTGTCATATGTTCATATCCTTCATGTGAAGATTGCATTATGACCCCAATTATAATGTAGATAGCAAAAACCCCCAGTGTAATAAGTATATTATAAGTATAACCATTGTACATAGTCATCTGAAAACTCTTCTTTCACAGTGTGTATATATTTATTAATAGACTGCTGTTTTTGTCTCTTCTGTTTGTTCTTATTTAAATGCACATACTTTTTTGTTGAAAGCAAATTGAGAGTAAAATTAAAACTGAAAACAGTGATTTGTAAATCATCTATGCCCTGTATTACATTGAAAACAATTCTGGACACTGTTGACATTTGGCTTCCTTTTGGCACAGTACAGTTTTAAGTGGCATTTATAGATGTAACAATGTACTGTAGTGCCTGACACAGGTGTGTCAATGTCATCCTGAGCCCATGTGGTTATATTGCTTGTAGAAGAGTGAAGATTCTTGATGCTGTGCCATCTGAGGGATCGGAGACCATGGTCATCCAGCTTAGGCTTGTGCCCTTTACACACTGAAATCCCTCCAGAGTCCTTGAATCTTTTAATTATGCGCCGTAGAGGGGGACATATCCAAATCTCTTCCTATCTTTTTTTTGAGGAACATTGTTTTTAAATATTTGAATAAGTTTCTCAGGCATATGTTGGCAAACTGGTGGTCCTCAGCCCATCTTTGCTCCTGAAGGGCCAGGCCTTTCCTGGATGCCACTTTTGTACCAAATCATGCAATCACCTGTTGACATCACCTGTTTCAAATGGAGTCATCATTTCATTGTTTTGTCTCTTTATTGGCCCTGAAATGCAACCGTCCCAAATTTTTTGGAGTGTGTTGCAGGCATCAGAATTGTATTTATTTTGAAAAAAGAATAAAATTGATGGTGTCACATCAAATAATGTGCTACTGTATTGTTTTCAATGTGGCCCTGTTTCAATTTCAACAGGACACAGATGATTTACAAATCACAATTTTTTGTTTTTATTTTGATTTTACATGCTGTCCCAACTTTGTCTGATTTGGGGTTCTAGGTGATATGTGACAGTCTGCTGCAAAAATTTTGTCAACTGCAAACCTGAACAGCACGAACAGTCACTGCCAACAATGACGCAATTTCCACTGTATCCAGGTTGAGAGTTTGTTCTGCATAAGACCTGAGTTTGATGACAGGTTTCAGATTTAAGGAGTGAAATATGTCTTTCAGGTGCTAGAAGACGACAAACAGTGGTGGAAACTACGGAATCGCAGTGGCCAGGCCGGATATGTCCCCTACAACATCCTCGATGTTGTGAAGATAGAAGAGCCAGAAGCCCTTCATAACCAGGTCTGTACATACATATTTGCAGTGTACTAACATTACATTCTTTGTTTCTTAACCATAAAACTAAAGTAGGGTGTATTGGAGTTCTTCTTTGTATGTCAGTAAAAAATACACTTTTATACTGACAACATTTATTGGCCTGCTTTGTAGTTGTGCTGTGTATTTTTAGCATCCCCGCAGGCAGCGATTAAAACCAAACAATTTGATGTCATAACAGAAAAGTTTCCACCAGCTACACAGACTTTTAATGACGCAGAACATTTTACACTCTCATTGTCCAGTAGTGTACAGATACCAGTTAGTCTGCTCACAGGAGACTTACCTCAACTGCACAAGCTCAAATTGTTGCTACTGAGTTGAAAGTACAAAAGATTATTAGGAGACAGACAGATAACACATTTGCTAAAGAATGTAGGGCTCATGATAGAGAGATGTACAGCTAAGTACTCAGAAGAACACACCTAGATAACAAATCATTTATAGCATATGAAAGTAATTTTCATTTAATAATAAAATGTCATCACAGTAGCACAGTAACATTTGAACTCTGGCCCTAGATCATTGCAGCTGTACAAATTCTCTGCACTTGTAACCCAATACGTTGTGCAGCAGTATGTTCCCACCCTCACTTAAATTCATACAGACACACTGCATTTAGGCGCACCAACGCCCTTCAGCAGCTAATGCATGCAGATACTCTTCCTGGTGTGAAATACTTTCACACACATACTTTACTTTTGGCTCCTGGGCATAAATGTATCCCCTTGAATGAGATGGAAGACAAACCTGTTTCTGGGATAATACAGGCTGCGGTTGCTTTCTCATGAGGTGTGTATGTGTCTGTGTGTGTGCAGCAAGGCTACATGACACCACCCACTAGTCCTCTGGCCCATGGAGACAGTTTTAACAAGGGCAGACACAAAGACAAACGTGAGTGAACATAACCAAGTAGACTAAGTCAGATTTAGGAATTACAAGTATGTTTTAAAGCCACTTTTACAAGTAGTTACTCTTGTTCTGACACATGCTGCCATGCTGTTTCCCTTCTGCAGTGATGGATGAGGTCAACAATGAACTATTGATGATGATCACTGCAAACAAAAGTCAGCCACCCACGAGGAAGTTCCGTGTTGAGCGATCATCCAGCATCCAAATACCACTCACCCTGGACTCAAATCCAGAGCAGGTGACCGCATGGCTCAGCGGAAAAGGTTTCTCAAAACCGTAAGTCATTCATGATGCTCAGAAATTCAAAATGCCTTCCCACGCCTTCAAGAGTAACTCAGCACGCTTGGAAAATCTTGTCGTTGCTGACCTCCAGCAATTTAACTTCTCACCCTGCTGCTGATTGACAGGTGTTCTCCAGGACCCTGAGACATAACTGTTGGGTGCGGATGCAACAAAGCAAACAAGCTTAAAACATCCAACCCCAGAGGGCAGCAGCACATTGCTTTTCAGCTTGGTGTTAAGCTGCTCTTTGAGATCTGACTAAAACCTCTAGAGATGATGGTGGTCCCCTGACGTTTATGATTCTGAGTGTTTTGTTGTTGTTTTTTTACACACATTCACTGTCCACTTCTGAAGAACTGAAGTTCACCAAGGATTCCTGCAGTTAGGAAAGAAGTGGCCTTTAAAAGATAAAAGTCCATGCAGAGAAATGGAAAAAGAGGAAAATGAAGGATGACTCTCATGCATGGCTTGCAGGTCTGTTTGAAAACGTGACAATCCCACACAATCAGGGGTTAAACTAGGCTGAAGCCACCAGAGCTGCTGTTTGGGTGTTAAGAGCCAGAGCTCAGGTCGGTCTTCTTCAGCATCACAGCAGTGCTAATCATCTTGAAATATCTGCTTCAGACTCTGCTTCACACTGACCAAACAAAGGCAGAATTTACCTCTTTTTTATTTTACTGAATACCTGTACCTCCACATTTGGATCAGTGCACACATGTGGCACAGCTGCACTTCATTAATTATTATTTAATAAACAAGGAGCAGTGAGCTGTCCCAGAGAGCCAGCACTGCATAGAACACACCTCAAGAGGAACCAGTCATCAGTAATTGATTACACCCGTGCTTTTCCTGCCATGACACGTCAAACTGCCATGAAAACGTCCTTGATGGATTTGCAGTGTTTTAGCAGCATCAGTATACTCACTGCTGGTAGCAGTTTAAAAGTGAGAAATGCAATAAATGAATTTAAAATGTAAATGAATTGTCTGTTTTCTGCAGGACGGTTGAATGTTTGGGGATCCTGACTGGAGCCCAGCTGTTTTCCCTTAACAAAGAAGAGCTAAAGGCGGTGTGTGGAGAAGAAGGTGGTCGTGTCTACAGTCAAGTCAGTGTGCAGAAAACACAGGTCGAGGTTGGTAACACATTTGCCTGTAAGTGCACACAAACTGCTTGTGTCATTCTCAGTTAGACAAAAACAAGTTGTAACCTACAAATGAATACACCTCTTTGCAGCAACTTAGTCTTTATTTGTACATGTTGAGGCAAGTGGGAAAAAAAGGAGCTGGTGCTAGCTGTCACATTTCTAGGGAGTCACACAGTCCAAAAAGTGGGTGTGTACACTGTTTGTTGCTCTTCAAACCTGTCTCTCTCTGTGTATTCCACACTTTGTGACAAGAGAATCCTTGAACAATATGTTGAAATACAATTTTAAGAAACATAAATCTTGCATTTCCCTCACAGATGACCAGTGGAGACTCAGAGCTGCAGGAGATCATGAAGCGAAGGCAGGAGAGGATCGACTCTGGCGGCAAAGACTGAACCTGCCGACCACCCAACCCTTTCATACACTTCTCCTCCCTCACAGCTCCCTAACTGCTGCAGCTTCTTAAATCAGTCTACTGTTAATTGTGACTTACGGTAGAGAATACTGTAATGTTGTATACATTTTGATTGTATATTTATTTCATATCATGCTATGTGCATGTATTCCAAGTGTTTTCTTCTCTAATTATGTTGGTTTTGTTTTTATTGTCTTGTGCAGTTTTGTCCAAGTTGTGCGTGTGAAAAAAGGAAGCATGAAGATATGTACATTTTGGGGGATATGTGTGAATGCCAGTGTCTGTGTACGCACGACATGCATGATAACATACATATTTGTACAAGCAGTGTGGTTGATGTTCATGCACATTGTCAATATTTCAGCTGTTAACTAAATATCCTGGTAAATAAGTAGATTTTAGCTGCTGTGTGTCTAAATCTGTGCCAGAATATTACACATTTTCCGATGTATGGCCAATTATTTTCACATTACTGTTTACAAGTATGAAAAATAACACATGCTCCGTTAGTCCTCCTAGCATATAACAGAAGTAGACGATTCAACCTGATTGGTAAATGCAAATCAGAAAGTATTATTATAAATAATCTTACTGTTTATGATCAGAGTTCAGACATTCTTACAAGTGTGTGCCACAGAGAAACTCACAGTAATCCTGCATGTCAGTAATAGTCCAGTGCTGTCATTAATGTGCAGTGCAAACACAGGAAAATCAAGAAGTATATACAGGAGAGTATGTTGTTCTGCTATCGGTAATTAATTGAAGATTTAGACAAAACATTCATGGGGGTTGTAAATCTTTTGGGACGCAGTGTTTAAAAACATTACTACAAATTAAATTAGTACATTTCTGATATCATATCTTCTTTGTAAATAATTCTTGTTTGTCACTGGATTCATAATATCAAAGGTGGAGAAATGGTCAACAGCTTCTTTATTGTTGTATCAGAAGATAAACAGAAAATGTTAAGTTTGATCAGAGAAAATGACAAGCGCAGAACATTTGAACCCCCGGTTTCACAGGATTTATCGTTTGTCAGCGTAACTGTAAATATGCTATTGTTCAAGCTGTGTCACATGTTAAATAAAGAAAAAAAGGATCACTTTAACACCGTTTTCATGATCGTATTTATTAACACCATCCTACCGTTGTTCAAGATACTATAAAGCAAAAGTATGAGCACAAAAAGAAATGCTGCACAAAATCTGGGATTTAACTCTAACACCAAAAACTAAAGATCATTCTCAGACTTTACTCGATTATAACGCCAAACAGATTCAATTTATAATGAGGAAGAGGAGAGAAGCACAACTTTAGCCTCAAGTGCGCAGAATCACGCCGGTCACTTGTGGAGATACGCATCGAGCCAGAGCTCCCCCGAGTTTTTCAGTGAACTGAAAAAGAAAATTACAAACCATCATCTGTTATCAAGAAAAAGGATTCTTGAAGGAGTAACTGGTTTTTTGGTGGCTTTTTACATAAAGTGGCTCATCCTGACAGTAATTATTATACTTCTATTATGATTGAACTTACCTGACAACATCTGTCATGCCTTGCCACAGAGTTTTCGTCTGGTACGGAATCCTGTGTTTCTCACACAGGGCACGGACCTGGGGGGCTACCCGGTGGTAGTTGTGCCGCGGCATCGTAGGAAACAGACTTCAGAGACAAACAGGAGAAAGCATCCATCAGGCAATACTGTGTCCAACATGTCATTAGTTTTTAAACGTACAGTTCAGTTTAGTGACGGATCACCTTGTCCACCCTTGTTGAACTTGTTAATTTAACAGAACTCTGACCAATCAGACATAAACACGAGTAACACAGTCTTTTCCTGTTCACTTCTGCTGTGTGATTAAGCCTCATGCAGAGTAAGCCATTAGGCAGTGTAACTGTTTGTATAGGGCGGCGTGGTGTGGCAGTGATTAGCACTGTCGTCTCACAGCAAGAAGGTTCCAGGTTTGAGCCCCGGCCGACCCAGGACCTTTCTGTGTGGAGTGTGCATTTTCTCTCTGTGCCTGCATGGGTTCTCTCTGGGTACTTCGGCTTCCTCCCACATCCCAAAGACACGCAGCTTAGTTTGACTGGTGACTCTAAATTGCCTGTAGGAGTGAGTGTGTGGGTGTGCGTGGCTGTTTGTCTATCAGCCCTGTGATAGACTGGCGACTTGTCTAGGATGTACCTCAATTTCTTGTTGAGTGATATGTTTTATATAAACACAAACTTTGATTTTGTAAAGGCAGGTATCTACTTCTTAATCAGTTATATTCCTGGATTTTTTTTTTTTTTTGTTTCCTCTGACTGTGCTATAGGCTTCGTCTGCGAGGACACATTTTCTGGACTCTAATACTGTCAAGTTTGCATGGTCCAGGACAGCGGAGCAGGCCTTCCAAACCCTCAAAGACCGGTTCACCACAGCCCCCGTACTCCTCCAACCTGATCCCTCACGGCAGTTCGTGGTAGAGGTGGACGCATCGGACACTGGGGTAGGAGCGGTCCTTTCTCAGCGGTCCGGGGAAGACCATGCCTTGCACCCTTGTGCCTATTACTCCCGGCGTTTGACCCCGGCCGAACGAAAATACGATGTTGGTAATAAGGAACTGCTGGCCGTTAAATTGGCCCTGGAGGAATGGCGGC